GTACTATTTACTATAATTTTTTATTACTATACGTATGATAAATAAATATTAATTTATCATTTAATTTTCTAATTTTACAATTCAGTTCTTTACAACAAATTGTTATGCTACCTCATGCTGGGCAAGTTTTTTAATCATAGGATGATGTTGAGAAATATTTAAATGACTATGCCCAGCAAGAGAACTTTGTTATTATTAAAATCAAAAATAAACAGGATCTATCCTCAGAAAAAACTTACCGCAGACGTATATTTGCATGTGATCGTCAAAGCAATTATGAGCCTAAAAAGACTGTAATTCTAGAAGACCAAAGAAATAGTAAATCTAAAAGATTTGGTTGTCTCTGGCACATCAATATGTCTTTTCCAAAAAAAACAGCAGTGATTAGTATAACATCAGTAGATCTTAGTCACAATTACCCACTTAATTCCAAAATAAACTTATATGCTACAAAAAAAAACCCTTCCTGATATTGTTATACAAGAGGTTCGCTTTTATATAGTTGAAGGCAACCTCAGTACAACTATTCAATGTCAACTTTTATCAGCAAAATTTTCTAAATTTACAATATATCCACAGGATTTGCACAATTTAATGCAAAAATTTAGGACTATAAATCATAAAGAAAATGATGCATCAAAATTTTTAAAATATTTACTTATCAAAAAAGCTGAAGAACCAGGATGGGAAGTATTTTGGAACTTAACAGTGAAACCAATAGTCTGAAAAAACTATTTTGGATAATACCAGCCCAAGTTCAACTATAGATCACCTTTCATGATATTATATTAAATGATAATACTCACAAAACTAATCAATATAACATGCCACTTTCTTTATTTGTAACTATTGATAACTATTTCTGAAGCTATCTAATTGCACAGTCTTTAGTGAATGATGAAACCAAAGGAACATATGAGTAGCTTCTAACCTCTACTTTACAAGCTACCAATTATACACTATGAGTCTTTATTACTAACTCTGATTTTGGTATTAATGCCACAATAGATATTCATTATAACAGTATATATCCACTATATTGCTTTTATTATATTTCACAAAATCTTATATGCAATCTCAAAGCGCCTCTTGGTAATACTTACAATGAATTTTCAAAAGATTTTTATGCTTGTAAAAATATTTTATCACCTGCAAAGTTTGATTTACAATAGCATGAACTTATTACAAAGTATCCAAAAGCAGCTGACTATCTCAATTCTGAGCTTTATTCAAGTAAAGAAAAATGGGCTAAAGCATATATAACCAAATTTTTATAGCTGGTATCACATCGACATCATAAGTTGAAAGTGAAAACTCAGTAATAAAAAATATTCTTCAAGGTTGTCCCAACCTTTGTGAACTTGCTACTATCTTAGATATGATTATAAATTATTTTAGATTTATATAATATTAGTTAGAATACTATTTTGTTATTTTTGTTATATAATATTTAATGATTAGTAATAGTATAAAGAAATATAGAAATTGTTAGTTACTTTATTAAAATAAGGTTAAAGTATTAAAAAAAAAATAAAATTTAGTAAATTTAACATGCTAAATTTATACAAATTAACATAGAATTTTATAATATAATTACTGTATAATTTTAGATTTGCGATTATCTGATGAAACACGATATACTGATTATACTGAATGGTATCATGCTAATACAAGTGCATAGTTGCATGATGCCTCTGCTGAATACTTTCCTGAAATTGACCATGTTCTTGAGGAATATCTAACTAAAGAAATGCTTTTCTAACAAAGACATAAAATTGTATAATCACTTTATTATTACTCTAAAATAAAAAGTAATAATTTAACCGATAAGAGATCTAATGAAGAAGGATATGATAAGCAGCAAATTCACCTGACCTCCTTTTTAGATGATCTACTTCAAATGATATTATTAAAATATATGAAGTTCAATGATGCAATTATATTCATAATAACTATGTTATTGTTTTTATATTTGTATATATACATGTTGCTAATTAATTGTGGATTAGGTTGTCAATATTTTTAGAATATATTGGCTATCAATAATGCAGCATTTTTTCATATAACACTAATTTTTAAACACTGATATAAAAGTGAAAAAATAAGCGATTTAAATTTAGATGAACAACTTTACTTAAATTCTCACCCAATACAACTATATAAAGGTTATTCACCTTGTCTAAAACTTTTTCTATGCACTATATTAACAAAATCTGTGGTAATGATGTATTTAGTTCAGAAGTTCATCATGCAGTTCAAAAAAGACATGATTATAGAGAAGTTTTTAATCTTGCTCAAAAGACAGTTAGGTCTGCAATTAAAAAAAGTAGAGATTCTTTTCGTCATCTTAAGAGAAGCCTTAATAATTGGTTTGCTGAAGAACAGAAACTTTTTTATACAAATAATGACGAAATAGAAAATTTTAATCCTGATCAAGTTCAAAATTTAATTAAACGACGACAAAAAGAATAACCACCAACTAAGCGATTTAAAAGTAATATTGAATTATCACAATCTAAAAGCAAAAAATTTATTAGTAAAATTATACAAAACAAATATGATAAATGTAGAAGTACTAGACATTATGCACTAACTTGTAAAAAGTAGAAAAAGTATGAAGAAAGTAAAGTTACAAATTATAGTAACAACTAATAATATTGAGCTATGAAAAGAGAAATTGGAATGAGATAAATAAAAGTATAGAATACTGTTCTGCAATTTGGGTTTAGAAAACTTAAGAATTTTAAAAAAAATTAATTGAAAATACACTTTAATTATTATTAATTATTTATCGTGATTTGCAAAAACAATATATCTTTGATAAAATTTTGTATATTGCATTCACATTATAATTAATTTTAAATAATAATTTTAGCAAATATCAATATAGCAAGCAAAAATTATAAAATACAATAAGGTAGTTATAATTATATTGGCTGCGATCTATAAAAGTTATAAAAGATGAGATGCAAATCACTAACTCTTTCTGACGATCACTTGTACCAAATTTTCTCTAAAAATAATCACTCTATTCTCTAAAT